CAGCAATTCACTCACCTCAGCCTCCCAAAGCGCAGGATTACAGGCTGAACCACCGAGCCCGGCTGGAAACTGTTAAAGTAAAGCTTTCTACATGCACCAGGAGATAGGCATGTCCACTGCAGGAAGAATCAGCCTTCCAGGAGAGCACAGATCATGCATCCGGGGCAACAGGAGAGAAGCAAAAGTAGGTGCCATGGGTGAGGAGGGATGTGCTCACAAAAGTGTGGTACTGTAAATCCTGCAGGGGAAACTCCCAAAGGCCTCCACCATGCCCATGGTGGGTGGGTTCTGCCAGGGTCTCACATGTAGCTAAGTGTGCACTGGAACTCTGTGATGGCCTTAGTGCATCCATCTTGTTTCTCTCAGCTCTATATATATTCCCAGGAAAACTTACCTGTCCAAGAACCACTGGCAACTGTCCTTTGCCTCACTTTTTACTTCTCCCATTATACTTTACACAGGATACATTTATCTTTTCCCAGTTCCCATCTTGGGATGCCCAAGAACTAAACAAAGGATCGATTTCAATGATAGTGTCTGTGTGAATTACCTTAAAAATTGGAAGATAAATCCTTTAAAAAGTCAAGTAGGTTTTAATTCTTTGCTTCCAACAAAATTAAAGGAGAAACTGATCAAGTTGTCAGCTAATATATTTGATAAAAACTACATTATGTTTGGCATATAATTTGGGAGAAGTCAAATAATTGAATAATATTGCTTTCACAAAATGCTTTTCATTTCCAACTACCCATACTACTATAGCTATCAAATAATGGTTATAGACTCGATGATGAAAACTGTATCATTCTCTCATTTCTAGTAATAAAACTAGCCATCTGTGGCTACATAAATTAATTTAAAATAAAGTTCTATCTTTGGCAAAAACATGAATTTCCAATATTTATTTATTAAAATTTGTCATATTGATGAATTATACACCAACAGTAACAATCTTAAATCAAATCAGAAGAAATCTGTAAATACTTATGGTCTAAAGGAATAATTTTTATGTATCTACACTTAAGAAAATCAAGATATAGTGATTAATAAAAGACTTTCAAACATAAAGTCTTATCACATTAGGATGTAATTCTGTATGATAAGTGTAAAAGAATTGCAGGAGCACAGAGGAAAAGGGATCAGGTAAAATACTCAATGGATTAAAGAAGAGGATGTTCACATGGTGTCTGAAGGATATGGGCATGAACTTATTATGGTATTTGGATTCCATTTAAAATAGAGACTGACAATTTTTTTTTTTTTGAGTCAGAGTCTCACTCTGTCGCCCAGGCTGGAGTGCAGTGGCATGCTCACAGTCACCATAGCCTCAACCTGCTGGGCTCAGGTGATCCTTCTGCCTCAGCCTTCCAAGTAGCTGGAACCACAGGCATGTGCCACCACACCTGGCTAATTTTTTTTTTTAATTTTTAAAAACCTTTATTGTAGAGATGAGGTCTCACCAGATTGCCTGGGCTGGTCTCGAACCCGTGGGCTCAGGCAATCCTCTCACCTCGGCCTCCCAAGTGATGGGATTATAGACACAAGCCACTGTGCCCAGCCTGACAATTTTACTTTTAAATGTCAATATTTACAATTAGATGCAAAGGACATCACTTGCAATTAATTAAATCTAGGTTAGAATTGTAGATGTCAAGTTAAAAATCCACAAATAAAACACAGCATTTCAATATTCTTGTAGGAGTCATTAGAGTACAATGTGTGAAGACCCCTGGCTCAAGAACACTCCATGTGAGTCAAACATGCAGCTCCGGAGGGTAGAGGGCAGGGCAGGAGCTCCCAAGCCCTGGGGACTGACCAGAGTATGGGCTGTGGACATCTAAATGCAGCCATGCATCTTTTTATTTGTCTTGCATGAAGTGCTTCTGAAGTGTCCCCACATCACGATGATGTACAATATAAGCATGCATTGGGTGCTCAGGAGGCAGTGCCATACACCTAACATTCACTGTTGGCAGGTGTGTAGTGTGTAGGTAGGATGAAGGCCTGTCTTTTTTTAACAGGTCCTCTGCTTTCCCTGCAAATCCAGGACAAGTGTCTAAAAGCAAGAGACTATAGGTCCCACAGACAAGGACTACCATTGTCAACTTACCATTTGCAGCCAAATGTTGGTGGTTAAAACTTGGTTCTTCTCATCCTTTAAAAAAAAAAACCAACAGCATAAATATGGCTTATACAGTTTACCAAAGAAAGAATGAGACAATTATTCATGTGGGGTCTGACTGCTGGGATCATTGTTATGTGTGGAAATTAGAATGCACCAAGCACTTCCAATACATGCAAGCAGTATTTCCCCAGAGTTAAGCTTTCTATTTATTCTGAAGTAAGAAACATTTATTATAGAGCACTTACAAAAGACCAAAAAGATGTAAAGAAGAAAATTTAAATCCAGCAACCTTCTCATCCAGAAATGATGCCTACTAATGATTTAATTACTTATCTTTATATGTTTTTATCATTTATATACTGAAAAAAAACACATTAAATTGTGTACAAATTCCAATTTTTTGAAGTCAGGTTTATTGCCAGAATGCACGTGCTTTTAAACAAATACAGATATTTTATACTTCCTTCCCCCAGGAAAGGAGCCACCATGGCTCTGTGGCACTGTCACGCTGTGTGCTAGTGGTACCGTGTCGGCCACAGATCTGTGTGGTCCTTGTGGGTCTAAGATGCCTTTTCTCTAATCCTCTATCTACTAGGAAGCACATCAGGCTCTTGACATGCACCTGAAGGTAAATCCCATCCAGGTGAGTAATCAAAGGGACAGAAAGATGAGGTGACTTTACAAAGGAGCTCTTCAAACTTGGGTTATTCTGACTCCAGAGTCTGCTTTTCCACATTTCCAAAACACCTATCTGAGTTCAAGAACCAGCAGGGTATAAGCTTATGCACAAATCAGAGAGCTCAAGATAGTGCGCTAACTGTAGCTTTGCTCCAGAACAGGACATCTAAAGAAAAGTCCAGTCAAAACTGGCCTTTCCAAATGGAACACAACTAGCATTTTTATCACAGTTGGCCAAGCCCACTACAATAGCAAAAAGCAACATGCAAGGAAACAAATGAATGAGTTTTGTACAATAGGTATACTGAGAATGCTGTTAGTCAGTATTTAATACTCAACTCCAACCCAAAGAACTCTGTAAATTAGCAATTGACACCCTCTCCTGGGAAACTATTTATTAGTGTCCCATGAAGATGTGCCGAGAAGCTGAGATTTCAAGCTCCAATAACAGAACCACTTGGTTTTGTTCACTAATGGGCAGTCTAAAAAAAAGAGCCAAGGGAGGAAAGAACATGGCATCTGCTAAGGCGTGCCAGTGGGCAGGGATGCAAAGGAGAAATAAGCGCTGCCTCTCATTAAAATAAAAATGTGTTGAACATGTAAGGGCTTGGCAGGGACGCTTTGATGCATCAATACCCCAGGCCAGCCACACACACACTGGGCACTTCTGGTAGTCAGATGGACCAAAGGGTGGGGGCAGATCCCATAGAGCAGATAAGGCTCCCTGGGAGGGCCATGGGACAATGTCCCAAGGGGCCCCAGGCCAGCTGAACATTCAGTTACAGGGGAAAAAAAATACATTCCATTTTCCAAATGAAACACGCCAGAATTTTTCAGTGGCAAAAGTTGTAGAGCTAACATTTCTCTGTATTCTGTATTGAGCAAAATCCCCAACAGAGCCATTCTTTAAATTGCAGGAGGACTGTAGTTCCAGTTCAATCTCCAATATTATTGGGAAGCACTGTTAAACTCTTCAGAATATATATCTGTTGCCTCAACTTATTCAGGAGTTGTTGTTTTTAATGGACTTAAAATTAGCAAGGGTTCCATTTAGGTGCCTTTCCTTCCTTTAATTGCATTTGTGTCTTCATCTTCTGAGAGAAAGGCTTCTGTGGTTTGGGAGCTCAATTACTACCAATCTAATTAAAAGGCTTTCTTCTTTCCAACGTTTTAACAGAAACCTCATTAGAGGGACACTGAATTTCTGTGGTGTATGGCAGCTTGGGACCCAGTATGGCATTTCAAACTGTAATCAACAAGAAGGAGCCAGCCACCACCAGAGTGTGCAATGATGCCAGTCAGGAGAACCCTCCGCAGAGACTCCAGAGGGAAAGCCTGCCTTACTCAGGAAGAGCCGCCATCTGCACTCCCAGAGAAATCCCCTCTCCCCCTAGCCTGGCCATGCACTGGCTGAATCCCTCAGCCCTCTCAGTCTGCAGTGACAAGGTCCCTCACCTCCTTCCTAGCCCCAGTGAGCAGTTTGCCACCCCTACACACACACACACACACACACACACACACACACACACAGACAGGCGTGCACACAGTCTGTCCCCTGCTCTTCAAGCAGGGCTTTCTGGCCACCCATATGATCAGACAGCTCTCCTCCGACTGCACTGCACAAATGATCAAGTCAAAAGTCCTTAGTGCAGCATGCAAGTCCTTTCTACAAGCCATCATCCAGCCAAGTTTTCATTCATTCATTCATTAACTCAACAAATATGTACGGAGTACACTTCCTGTTTCAGACATTATGTTGGCCTGAAATGCACAGTGGAAACTGAGCACTTTCTGAGCTCCTGGAATATAAAATGTGTGGGGAGTAGGTAGGGTAGGATTATACACTACAATAGCAACCTATAACTACGAATGATGACAAGGGTCACACAGGGAAGAAACAAGGCTCCTTCAGAGAGGGCGATGGGAAGATGGGCTTCATCAGAGTAACAAGGGGTGGAGCCCTGAGGCTGAGCCTTCATGTATACACTCCATGATGTTATAACACCACAATACACGAATCATTCCCTCACGCCCACCACGTGTACCCAGCCCCCAGATCCAAGCCTTGCCCACCCCCCACACCAGCCCTGCTTGCCCAGGCTCCATCCAGGGCCCCCTTGACTGTGACCACAGGTGAGGGGCAATATCTGCAGGTCTAGGTCTGTTCATCTGTAAAACAATTCCTGGCCAGCTACTCTCACCCACCTCAAAGGGGTCTTGTGGGAACCTGGTGGTGATGGGCCTGCAGGGGCCACCTGTTCTGCAAGACATTGACCTGCTGATAAGCAAACTCATCTCCCTCCCCTGGAGTTACTTCAAAAGCAGGCCCTCCTCTCCTGTTTTTCTCCCCCTCCTTCCTAAGCCTCCTCAAGCCCATCCCTACCCCCACCCCACTAAACCTGAGCTGAGCCCCCCACTTCCTAACAGTCTTTTGCACAGAAGACCAGAGGGGGGGATTCAGCTCTGTGTTCAACTTTCCTGCTGTGGGGTTCACCCATCACCATTCAGGCTGGAAGTGAACTAGGAGACCAGGGGCTGGCACCCAAGCCTCTGAGTCTGGAAAGTCCACAGGTGGGGCTGCAGCTCCCACAAGGCCCTCAGGCCTCTGGCAGAAGAACATTCAGGGCAGGCGCACAGAGGCTCCACTACCAAAGCCCAGAATCTGCTCAGAATCCAGTTCCCCAAAGGGGAGCCTCCTTCTCTTTCACCCCAATATCCTTCACTGCTGCCAGAGCCATGAGCCTGCCATGCAGCACCTGAGCTCCTTCAAAACCACGAATCAGCAGACAAAACTGCCTTCAGCAGTCACTTCACTCCCAAGCTGGAGGCCACACTAAACAAAAATGGGGATTCTGGCAGGGAGGAGGCTTAAACTTCCAAACCCCGGCCCAAGAGTCTCCAAATAAGTAAGCAGATGCGGCCCCCTGAGGACCAGCATCGCATTGGTAACCTGCAGCTAGTGATTAGCAAGTACCACAGGCTCGGTGTCAGTTTCTACAGACTCTTAGAACAAAACGCCAGAGACTGAGTGGCTTATGAACAACAGAAATTTATTTCTCACAGTTCTGGAGGCTGGAACTCTTAAGATTAACATGCCAGCATGGTTGAATTCTAGCATTTGGTGAGAGTCCACGTCCTGGTTCACAGACGACCATCTTCTCACTGTGTCCTCACAGTGAGAAGGGGCATGAGAGGCCTCTTTTATAAGGCTCTAATCCCATTCATCAGGGCTCCACCTTCATGTACCAATCACCTTGGGGATTAGGACTTCAGCATACAGATTTGGAGGCACACAAATATTCAGACCACTGCACATTAAAAGTGGTTTCAGTTATTACAGATACTCAAGCTGTCCTGGTTATCCCTGTCCTAGCCCCACTGTGTAGAAGAGCACAGAGGAACAGAGTCCATGCAGTGAAAGACCCCCGGGGCTCCCATAGCAATGCCCCAATCAGCAGGCACCTGGCTTCTGTGTGGTTCAGTGTTCTCTTCCTTGAAATGGTAATGGCAGTTGTCATAACTGTCTTCTAGAGCTGGTGGAATGAGGGGTGGCACCCTACAATCTGTGAAGTGTCACTTGGTGCCACTGGTTGTCATGAAGTAGCTGCTCTACCACAAGACCCACAGTTCTTTCAGCCTCTGAAACTAAGACAGAAGAGGCAGGATCTACCACCCACATCAGAGAAGGCCAGCATGGCAAAGCACCCCCAAAGACAACTAGCCTGACTCCCCTCATTCTTCTTCAATCTGAGCACTTCAGTTAAGTGTACACTTTGATTTAAATGAACATGCTTTTAACAATCAATCTCTCTGGGTCATCATGTATCTGGTTTAGAGTACAACTGGCATGATGACACATAGTGTGCTGTCTTGCATTTCTACAGCGTTACTCTTTTGAAAGTTATCAGGCGATGTCATTCAACAGTATTTTACAGAGCTCCCATCACTTTTTTTTTTTTGCCTTTGTGTAGATTCTAAGAAAAAAGAGAAAATATATGTAACAATAGATCTAACCACTGTGTCTTAAATTCTTGTTTGAAGAGAAAATAGCTGGATAATATAAATTCACATTTGTGTAGAGCTCAGTAAAAAGGATAGCTTCTCTTATCTAATTTAATCTTTATATCAGTCATATTTTTCTCCTAGTTTTACAGGATAATAAATAGGTTTTTCCTGAGTCAGCAAGATATTAGGTCCAACAAAAGACTCATATGCAGAGTAAGAAATAAACTCCTAAAAATCAATCAGAAAAAGGCAGACAATCCAATAGAAAAATGGGCAAAAGATGAACAAGCACTTTACCAAGAGGATATCAGTAAGTGATATCTGAAAATAACACAGACAACC